ATCTTGGGTGTAGGTCTTTGCTTTTCATGACTTTGAATACTTCTTGCCAATCTCTTCTAGCCTGCAAAGTTTCTTCTAGCCTGCAAAGTTTCTTTTGACAGTCTTTTGAAAACTCTCCTATAGTTAACTAATTGCTTTACTCTTGCTGCCTTTAAGATTCTATATCTTTAACCTTGGCATTTTAATTATGATACATTTTGGGGTAGACCTCTTTGTATCCATCTGGTTTGGGACTCTCTGTGCTTCCTGGACTTGCACGTCTATTTTCTTCACCAAATTAGGGAAATTTTCTTTATTTTTTCAAACTGATTTTCAATTTCTTGCTATTTCTCTTCTCCTTCTGGCACCCCTATGATGTGAATGTTAGAATGCTTGAGGTTGTCCCAAAAGCTGTGTACACTATCCTTGGTTTTATTTTGGGGTCCTTTTTTCTTCTTATTTTTCTGATTGGTTGTTTTTGTTTCTTTTTTGGGTATTTTTTTTGTTTTGTTTTTTGGGGTTTTTTTTTTTTGCTTCCTTATGTTCCAAATCATTGATTTGATTTTGAGTTTCACCCTTTCTACTGTTGTTTCCATATAAATTGTTATTTATCTCAATTAGTGTATCCTTCATTTCTGCCTGAATCTTTTTTATGCCTTTGAGGTCCTTATTAAGTTCCTTGAGCATCCTTCTAATCAGTGTTTTGAACTCTGCATCTGATAGATTGCTTATTTTCTTTTTGTTTAGTTCTTTTCCTGGAGTTTTGTTCTGATCTTTCATTTGGACCATATTCTTTGTCTCCTCATTTTGGCAGTCCCCCTGTGTTTGTTTCTGTGTATTAGGTAGAGCTGCTTTGACTCTGTGTCTTGGTAGTGTGGCCTAACATAGTGGGTGTCCTGTAGAGCCAGTTGGCACAGCCTCCCCTATCACCCATGCTAGGTACTCAAGGTGTGCACTTTGTGTGGGCTGAGTACACCCTCTTCTTGTAGTTGAGCCTTGATTGCTGTTGGCAGGTCAATGGGAAGGATTTATCCAGGCCAATTAGCTGCAAGGACTGGCTGGGACCACTGACCACCAGCCTCTGCCATCTGTGAAGGATAAGCTGTTCGGATGCAGGGTGGTGGTTCTCTGATATAGTCTGTAGCTGTCCACTGAATGTGTAGGCTCTGGGGTTTCACGGGTGGTGCAGGCCAAGGTCAGCCCCCAACTGTGTTCTGCCCAGGGCCACCCTGCATGTACCATAAAGCAATCTGAGATGGTTGCTACTTGTGTTGGGCTTGGAGACTCCTAGGCGAAGCCAAGCTGTGAATCTAGGCTGTCTTCTGTTAGCACCAGGCCTGGGGCCACTTAACAAGAGGTATGGGGCCTTAGGCCTTACTGAGCCTGGCTGTTGCTTGTTTGATAAGATTTAGGAAGTTGTGAAGAATGAGCCAAGACCAGCATTCATATGGAAAAGTCACAGTTAACAGTTTGGATGGGCCCATAATTTGGGTGGAACGGAATCTCAGGGGATCTTCAGGGCAGGGAAAACAGTGTTAGCCAGGTTGATGGATTCTCAGATCTGGCCCCTGCCTGTTTGCTTTGTTGCTTTGTGGGGGGAGAGCTCAGAAAAGGGACAGTGGCCTCTGCCCACCTTTCTATTTGGGAGAAAGCTGTCCCCCAGTTCCCACTTTGATGCCAGGCATTTCAGTTCTTCCCTGTATGCCACTGGTGCCTTTCAAGCTGCTACCTGGTGTTGGAGCTCAGAAGGAGTGAGTTTGAGTAAGTTCATGTATGGATTTTTAAGGGGAACTGCTTGCGACTCCAGAAGTTTCTTCCACCGACTTAATCCCCAATATTTGCAGCCAGAAGTTATGGGGATTTATCTCCCTTGTACTGACACTTTTGGCTGGGGGAGCCTATAATGGGGCTGGGACTCCTTGCTCCCAAGATATCCCTTCCAAATTTTTATCTACTACATGTGGATGTGGGACCAACCCATTTTGCATCTCCACCCCTCCTGCCAGTCTGTATGGATGTGGTTTCTTTAATTCTGTAGTTGTCAGGCTTCATTCAGCTCAGTTTCTTATGATTCCTTGTGATGGATGTTTTACATTTTAGTTGTAATTTTGGTGTCGTTGTGCAAGTGGGTGAACCATGTTTACCTATGCTGCCATCTTGTCCGGAAGTCCCTCTCACATGATCCTTATGCGCTGGTCTTAGGCTTGTTAATTGTTATAATTTTTTCCTGTTTTTCACCACCAGTTGAGCAGTCCACATGATAAATATTATCTAGTGCACAGGTAGGAAAATGAGATTTCTTCTGGGCATAAGAAAAGTTTGTCTTTGAGCCTCAAGACTTACACAGGAGCTTGTAAAGTTTGTCTTATTGGATGAAAGTGTTATAGTCACTTATTCAACAAACATTAGTTGGTAATCTACCATATGTAAAGCACTGTGATGGAAATGTTGATAGAAAGATCCAGCCAAAGCCTGTGAGGTCAAGGATTATATCCCACAGGTTAAGAAAAAAAAAGTAATTGCAATCCAGAATAATGATTTCTATACTGGTTAGAACAGGGCATTATACAAGCCTTTATTAAGAGTTAATTCTGGATTTTGTGATGTATAATCAATGTGGAAAAGGAGGGATGTGCCTAAACTGAACTCCTTAGTACCCTGGACTTTTTATATCCAGTGCCTAGAACAATGCTATAGTTACTAGGATTCAACAAACATAAAACTGAGGTATGGGTCAGGAAAGAAGGCAGACAGGAAAGCAGATGAATTTATCTTTTCTTTAAATGAAAAATGATCATAGCTAAAATATAAAGAATGTTTTCGGTGCCTGGCACTGCTCTAAGTGTTTACTGCTTAGTTCATTTATCCCATTATTCATTATGAAGTAGGTCTTATGATATTCCCATTTTACAGATGTGAAGACTAAAATGTCATTATTGATATATATGTCCAAAATGTGATGAGGACTTCGCATAAAGGAAGCTGCTCCTGCTTTCCTTCTTCAGGAAAAATAGACCCACTGGGAAAGACTTGTTTTCCCCAATCATGTTCGGTTTTAAAAAAACTTTGTGACAAAAGAATTCACCACTGAGGAATTTTTAAAAATTCATAAGGGCTTTCATAGATTCATACTTATTCTTGATATAGTCTAGTTCTATTTTGTTCTATTTTTCTGTTTTATAGTTACTTAATTAAAACCAGGAATACAACAGAAGCAAGCAAAGGCACTGTCGATGACTTCATTTCGCATTAGAAATAATATATACTAATATATATATTTTTTACCACTTGGTTCTTTGGTGAGATGAGAGATGGAAGGGCTGCTGGAGAGGCAAGGCCATGTGAACTTGAAGAACGGGGAAGGGGTAGCTGGAGAAGGGGAAAGCGAAATGCCTAGATAGGAAGAACTTTGCAAGCAAAAGGAGGAAGAGCCAAGAGGGAGAGGAACAGCTCTTGGCTGAGGAGTCAGTAAGTCTCTCTAGTTCTGGCCCAGTCCCTGTGTCACCTTGGATAAACATCAATTTCTCTGTGCCTCAGTTTCTCATTCAGTCATGTATAACTAATGATACCTGCTTTCCTTACCTTAGGTTTTTACCCATAGGATCAAACTAGGTGAGGGAAAAAAATTGAAAGTCTATTAATGATCATTGGGAAAAAATAAGGCATTAGAGCAAGGCCTCATTTATTCAGCTTCTTTGGAAAAAAGATATATTTTATATCAATGACTTTTTTAACTAAGTGAAGTTGAACCATTCAAGACATTATCGTTTTATTTTAACAAAATTTTACTATTTTATTTTTTCTAACATAAACCTTTTGTAACCCTAGTCTCTTAAACAGAGAGCACTGGTACTGTCAGCCCCCCACATCCTGTTTCCTGTGCCTTCAGTCCCTTAGCACAGATGTCAGATACTGATGCTATAATACAGTAATGGCCTTGGGGCCATTGAGAAGTGTAGATTTAAGGTGTCGAGATTGGATTTTGAAATCTTAGGTCTGTTTTCCATAGGTTTTCTATTTCTCATGCTCTCTAGGTATCAGCTATTTATTGTCACCATTTTAAAGTCTACGTTTCTTTCTTACTTGTTGCTTCTTACCTATTGAAGACTGAAAAATCAGAAAACCAATCTTAGAATGGTATTTAAAATAAAAGTAAATAGACTATGAGTAAGAGCTTGCCAGAGAGATTGGATTATGTGATTGCCTTACTGTGTGAACGTTTTAATGCCTGCGCTGCCTATTTCCAGCTGATTTTCTGGGTCTTCTACTCCGGCTGGGATGGCTCCTGCAGCAGACAGCTAGCTCACTGGGCTTTGTGTGGAAGGGCTGACGCCCAGGAGGATGAGTTTGTAAGGATTCTCAGCCTGCCTTCCTCTGGCTATTGACAATAGAACTTTAAGGTTCCCCACTCTGATCATCAGGAGAATTTTGTTCTTGTCAGGCCAGATTTTGAGTGTCACCAACTATTCATTGTTCACAAGGCAGGAGGAAGGAAAGGTAGATCAGATCTTTCAGCAGGGCCAGCGTGCCTAGAAGCGAACAGCTAGGACTGAAGCTAATCTGCCTTCCACAGGGAACAGACCAGGGTAGGGAACAGCACTTTCTCACTGTGAGTGCAGAGGAGGAGGATGGTGGAAGCAATCAGGTGTGGTAAGATGGTGGGGGGGGGGGCGGTTAGAAGACCATGGAGGAGACACAGCCTCTTAGAAGGTGCAAGGTGGCAGAGAAGGGTCAAGAATGGGGATTTAGACCAGCATTGCTATAGAATCTGTACTTTTATATTCTTGTCCTGAGTCATCAAGTCTCTGACATCACTCCAGGATGTGCCGTGACCATTACAGGCAATGGCACTACAGGCAACCATACTGCAGGGGCCTGCCAATGGCCTTATTCTGTGCATCTCCATAGTGCAGGACAGACCCCTTTGAGAGGAATACTTTCCCTGTAATCACCCTGAGTGCTACCCATGTGTTGTCTGCCATCCTGTGGTCACTGAGCTTCTGTCTCCCTTCCTTCCCCAGGTCGGTGGCTGGACTGGATAAGGAGGCGGACCTGGTGCACATGGAGGTGCGGACCACTGACGGATGTGAGTGCTGCCTCCTCCAGGCGAGGGCCAGGCAGCTCTGCCTGCAGCCCTCCCTCCTGCCCCAATTTGCATTTTAACGGCTTGGTGAAAAAGATGAAAAATCCCTCAGCTCCGTTGCTGCCAGATCCATCCTCATTTCCCGGAGTGGGGAGAGGCCTCTGGTCCTAAGGGAGATGTTTCATTGAAATAAACCCTCAGGAATGAATTTCCAGGGGATGTGAGTTAATGTGATGAATTTTGAGGCTCCTGTTAGTAATTTTCTGGCACCCTCAGTGTAATTTGAATAGGGATCTCCAATAGCTCATCATGGTATTTTGCATTCACTGGATGAACTGCAGGAGTTGCCAGGCTTAAAAAACAAACCTGTACGATAGTCAAGCTTGCCAAAAAAAGTAACTGGGCAGTTACTTGCCAAACTTTTATTCATTCATTTCACAAATATTTAGGGATGGCCTACTATGTACCACGCATTGTTCTAGGCCCTGGAGATACAGTGGAGCACAAGACCTGTATTGTCCCTGCAAATAAGCAGTGAAACCCCAAGGTATCAAACATGTGACCCCTCTGCACATTGTGCATCTATGTACATCTTACATGGATTTGACTGATAAGTTACCATTTTGCACCATTTTAAGCATTTTACCCTTTCCAGAGTTGATCATATTATAGGGCTCTTTCCTGGTCCAGAAAAAATAAAATCAGCTTAAACAAAACTATGTAAAATATATTTTATATATCAAACATATAAAATACACGAAGTAGCATTAGCTTATCTGAGGCCAAAAATAGAGCCAAATAATCTATGGAAATAGCATGGACCTAAGGATGTAGCTGAACAGGCACCTGCTGGGGGAGCTGGGCTCCTGGGTTCTGCCACCCATTAGCGCTGCTACCAGGGGAAACCCCTGTCCCCTCTACAGTCTCTGCTTGGACTTCCTGTTATCTGAGATTACCCACCTTTGCCCTGCCCTGCAGAGGGCTAAGGAGATGTTATAGAAATTATAAAATGTTGTACCAATATGAGGAGAGCCTGTTTTGATGAGGCTGTGGGGCTGGAATATCATTCAGAATACATAAAGTAAAAATGCATGTGTTTTGTCCAAACATGTGTTTTCTTCAGGCCAAACACAGATGCATGCCAGAAACATACATTAGAGTTAATATATTTTGTCTGCTCTGTTTTTATTTTTAAGGAGTTAGAAAGCAATCAGCATTACTATATGCCTGGCACTCTGCCAAGTACTTTATTTTTTTTTCTTTCTTTCTCTAAAGCAGGCAAGGATGAGGAATGACCCACACTCTTTAACATTATTTTTGTTTCTTTCTTATTTTTCCTTTTTATTTAATTTATTGGGGGTGACACTGGTTAACAAAATTATAAAGGCCCCAGGTGCATAATTCTACAATACATCATCTGTACACTGTATTGCGTGTTCGCCACCTCAAGTCAAGTCTCCTTCCATTGCCATTTATAACCCCTGTACCCTCCTTCACCTCTTCCCTATGCTACCGTGCAATCACCGCCATTGTTCCTGCCCATGAGTTCTTCCTTTTTTTTCCTTCTTTGCTCTATCCCTTCACACCTCCCACCCTGCTACTCTCCCCCAATCCTATAGCTGTCAGCTTGTTCTCTATGAGTTGGTCTCTCTTTTGCATTTTTAAATAAAAGAACTATTTAAAATATAGCGAGGTAATGGATAACGTTCACATACTGAAATTCACTGTTCATAAGGGTGACAAAACCTGGATTCAAAATTATTTTATCTGACTGTTACTGCTAAAAAAAAGAATTGGGGTGGAGAAGAGTTAGATATAGGGGTTTGAAGGAACATAGTAAGGCAGCAGGAAGAAAGCAGGTAATAACTCTCAGAAGATGACCCACAGAACAGTTCTCCAGACAAACGCTGACTTGGCTTTGTTTCTCATGTCAACCTCCTTTTTTCTTTACTTTTTTTTTATTAACGATTTTATTTATTTATATTTAGACAGAGGGGAAGGGAAGGAGAAAGAGAGGGAATCAATGTGTGGTTGTTTCTTGTCGCCCCCTCCTGGGAACCTGGCCTGCAAACCAGGCATGTGCCTTGACTGGGAATCGAACCTTAGCACTCAATCCACTGAGCCACATTAACCAAGATGCCATGTCAACCTCTTAAAGCCATATATGTGATTATCATATTTCAGAGTTGGAGGCAACTTTATAGGACTCTCTGACCTCCTACTTAGTATAGTAATTCCTTCCCCTGAAACCTCTACTATGTATCCTCAGGTCCCATGATCTCAGGCTTAAGACACACCCTTGGCTATTGATGGACAGGTCCTATGCGTTGTTTGTTTTTTATTGGTGTTATTTGTTTTGCTTTTTTTGAGGTAATTCCTTACATTAAGGTTAAACTTTCTGTAAGTTTAAGAACACCAGTCCAAATTTGGATAAGACCTGTGGTGCAGGAGCGCTGTGAAATTTTATGAGATTAAAAATGCAAAGCACATAGGAGTTTCTGGAATATTATCATGAATTGAAAAAAGTAGGCAGAAATATAACAGAGATAAATGTCATGTGCCATGCTGAGGTTAAATTATAGTATATATTAATTTTGTTCCATGTTCTTGGTTTTCTTAGATCAGATTTTCAATAGTTAAAAAGTCTTCTCTAACCTAGTCAATTGGCTCTACCTGACCTTTATTTAGAGAGTACACATGTCATTGCTGCATTAGTCTGGGGCTGTATTTTGCATGATCTAATGAAAGGCATGACATTTTTCTTTTGCTTTCCTACACTCACACATACCCACACATTTTTATATAATGATTATCACAAAAAGGACATTTTTATTTCATTTTATTTCTTTTCCTTTTTATTTTATTTCTTTTTTATGATGTGATAGCTTAGTCTCAAATTTGCCTAGATTCACACAGCTACCCTAGTGACAATAAAAATTAGAATACAAAACTCTCAATATACTACAAATAGAAGGAGACTTCTGATAAAGGACTTCTATAAAAACTTACAACTAACATCATACTGAATGATGAGATACTCATGCTAAACCCCTAAGGGAAGGAAAAAGGCAGGCATATATACTCTTAGCTTACCACACCTCTTCAACATCATGCTGAAAGTGTGAGCCAGTGCAATAAAGGAAGAAAAATGAAATGTAATTGATATAGATCACAAAGGAAAAAATAAAACTGTGGGTATTCTCATTGACATAATTGTCTATGTAGAATATCACAAGGTATCTACCAAAACTACTTTTAGAACTAATAAGCTGGTTGAGCATGGTTGTGGGATACAACATATTTTGGGGAGAAAGACTATCTTTTGTAACAGATGATCTTAGAAAACATGGACAATCACGGGGGAAAATGAATGTCAACCTGTGATTCACAATTTATACAAAATTTAACTTAAAATGGATTCTATTCTAAATGTAAAATATAAAATTATAAAACTTTTAAAAGAAAATATAGGAAAAACCTTTATGATGTTGGAGTGACATCAAGAGCAAAATTGACAAAATAAAGAATTGGTAAATTGGACCGCATCGCAATGAAAAACTTTTGCTATTCAGAACATATAAAAAGACAGTGGGAAAAATATTTGCAAATGATATATATAACAAAGGACTTACAGCCAGAACATATAAAAAACTTTTAAAACATAGCAATAAATAACAGCATAATTTTTTTAAAAATGGGAAAAAGTCTGAAAATAATATTTATACAAAAGAAGATATAAGGGTGATGACAAGCACATGAAGTGATGTTCCACAACACTAGACATTAGGGAAAAGATAATTAAAGCCATAATGTAATATCATTACATACCTATTGATATTACTAAAATGAACAAAGCTTACAATAGTAAGTGCTGACAAGGATGTGAAGCAAATGAGACTCTCATATATTGCTGGTGGGAATGCAAAATGGTACAGTCACTGTAGAAAAATATTTGGCAGTCTTGTAACATACACCTTAGGATTCAGCGCATTTACCCTGAAGACATGAAAGTTATAGTTACATGAATAAATATACACAGATGTCTGTAGCAGATTATTAATAATCACCCCAAACTGGAAACAACCTAAAATTAAATGCATGAATAATAAACAAACTATGGTATATCATATACAATAGAATAGTATTCAGCACCTTTGATACATGCAACAACATGGATGAATTTCAAAAGCATTATTTTGAGTGACATTAGCTAGTTTCAAAAGTTATACATTATATGACTCCATCTATATGATATTATGGGTAAAGGAAAACTATAGGATTGGAGAATACATCAGTAGTTTCCAGAGTGGGGAAGTATTTGACAAGAAAGAGCAGAATGAGGAAAACCTTTAGGGTGTTGTAATCTGATCATGGTGGTTGTTACATTAATGTATATATCTGCTAAACCTTTAGAACTATTTGCAAAAAAAAATGTGCTGTATATAAGTTGAAAAAAAACTTTCAAACTACTACAAAAATAAAATCTGTGGTAAGAAAAACTACAGTGCACAGTTCTTGGCTTCTAGCTTTATAGAACTTCCTACCTTTCTTCATTATTAATTAGTTTATTTAGTTCTTTTTAAAAAAGATTTTATTTTATTTTTTAGAGAGGGGGAGGGAGGGAGAAAGAGAGGGAGAGAAACATCAATGTGTGGTTGCCTCTCGCATTCCTCCACTGGGGACATGACCGGCAATCCAGGCATGTGCCCTGACTGGGAATTGAGCAGGCGACCCTTTGGTTCACAGGCTGGTACTCAGTCCACTGAGTTACCCCAACCAGGGCTAGTTCTTTTTTATGCAACCAATATTTATTTAAAATCTACATATGCTCGATACTGAGGGGACATGCAGGTTAATGCAATATCATCTCCACTCTTGGTGAGCTTCTAGACTTGTTGGGGAGATAGTTGTTTAAATGATTCTAGCACAAATCCCAGCTCTGTCACTTCCTAGGATGGTGGGACTCAGGCAAATTACTTCATTGTTCTGTGCTTTAGTTTCCT